GAAATTCCTTAAGTCTGGCCTCATTCTATGTTTTCTTAATATGTTAACAGGCATATTTCGAAAAGGAGAAGGATAGTGTTTTGGCATTTGCTGATGAAGTATAAGAAACTCTCCCCTGGAAGGGGCGGAATCAATGGTTACAGATACCTGGAAAATCAGCTTCTGAGATGTATGGTTATGTGATGACTATAGGTTATGTAATGCTTGACTTCTGTTAGAGTTCTGGGTGAACAAAATGAGGGGTAAAGCACCATAAAAATTTTAAAATGCTATATCTATTTGCATATAGTTGAATACTATCATCTCTATTTCTTTTTAAATACTTTAAAATGTTTATTTATTTTCAACTTCTTGAAAGGTAGAGAGAGAGAGAGAGAGAGACAGAAGAGAGAGAGAGAGAGAGAGAGAGAGAGAGAGAGTTTCCACCCATTGGTTTATTCCCCAAATAGTGACAACAGCTAGGGTTGTGCTAGGCTAAGGAACTAGGAACTCCATCAGGTCTCCCTTGAGTGTGGCAGAGACTGTCCCAAGCACTTGAACCATCATTTGCTGCTATTTGGGAGCCAAATAGCTGAGATTCAAATCAGACTCCTCTGATATAGGATTTGGGTGTCCCAAATAGCAGCTTAACCTTATGCTCTACAATACTCACTGCTAAGTTGAACTATTTCTTTTTAAATGACTTGATAATCATATGTAGAATAAATATCTCACTTTCAACATTTAAAACAGAATTTTAATGAAAAGATTCATTTTCAACATTTTTCTAACTAATATTACTGGATTTCCAAAATGTAAATTAAAAAGATAATGAGTAAAACACAGGTATTCCTAATAAAGTAGCCCAAATACAGTAGTTGTTGTTTTTTATTGGTCCTTTCTGTCTTTCCTTTCTGTCTTTGACTTTTTAAAATATTTATTTGAAAGGCAGCATGACCGAGAAAGGTGGAGAGAGACAGAGAGAGAGAGCTGGGGGTGCAAAGGGGGAGGAGAGGAGAGAGCCAGTGAGAGACAGATCTATGTTCCAGCCTCTGGTTCACTCCCTAAATGGCCACAAAAATCAGGCCTGGACAGGCCGAAGCCAGGCTCATTCTGGTTTCCTGCCCGAGTATCAGGGGTTCAATTACTTGGACCATCTTCTGCTGCCTTTTCCAGGTGCCTCAGGAAGCTGGATAGGAAATGGTGTGGCTGGGCACTCCGATTTGGGATGCTAGCATTGCAAACCACAGCTTAACCCACTGTGCCATAATGCTGGCCCTGAGTTTTTAACTGGGAAAGAAAACTACAGGCTCTACTTAACCTGAGTTGTGTTCACAGCCTGGACTGAATCTAGGGACTGAAGCCTGAGATCTATCTCAAAGTGGACTCTTTCCTTTGTGATTCTTGGAAACGCAGAATACAGTGATGCTACTAGAAGACTTAGGGACCCTCCAGGTTTTGTTTCTCTTTGGTTTCAGGATAGAGTCTCCCACCCCCTCTAACCCTGCCACAAAACAGAGTACTTTTATGGGATTTCTTTAATCCAACCAGGCCTCAATCATGCTTTTTACTAAAGATTGCCAGGAACTGGACATCCTGGTAATTAGATTTATTCATCAGTTTTATCTAAGTAGGCATGAGAATCTTTACCAAAGTTATTGGTTTCTTAACAGTAGTGACAAGAATTCATTTTATGGAAAATAAATGCAGAATTCTGTATTAGTAAATAAAGTTCACCATAAATGCAAACAAGTGTGGCAAACAGTGACAGATCCCAATTCATCCCAAGACACATAAATAAGTGATCTTATAAACACTTAAGAAATAGAGAAAGCACACTTAATTCTTCCTTTCTTTTTTTGTTATAAATGGAAATGCAGTGAAGGTGGCTAAAATTGGGAACCTAAGGACACCAAAACAAAGAATGGGGCTTAGGAAACAATACCCCAACGCATAACACTTTGGCATGAGGAATATTCTGAACTGAAGGAGACTGGAAGGCTTTAGAAGTAGCCTAAGAAGTCGCTCTCTTGTACAGTTTGGCACATGCTCACTCGGACTTACCCCTAATGGTAGAGCCAGAAATGTGCCAGGGGATTCCAAATCAATCCCATCAAGGTGGCATGTACCAATGCCATCTTACTAGTCAAAGTGATCAGTCTCAGTTCTCAATTGATCATAATGATAGGATTAAGTGTCAAAGGAATCACATAAACAATATTAGTGTCTGCTAATAATAACTGATAGCATTAAAAAGGAGAGAATGATCCAACATGGGAAGCGGGGTACACAGCAGACTCATAGAATGGCAAATGCCCTAAACAGCACTCTGGCCTCAGAGTCAGCCCTTAAGGCATTTGGATCTGGCTAAAAAACCCATGAGAGTTTCTCAGGCATGGAAAGCGAAGACACTGTGGCAAAAAAAAAAAAAAAAAAAATGACATAAATGAAAGATCTCTGTGAATGAGATCCCTGTGGAAAGAACGTGCCATCAAAGAAGAAGGTAGTACCTTTCTCTGAAGGGAGGAGAGAACTTCCACTTTGTTATGGCCTTGTCTAAATAAGGTCAGAGTTTGTGAATTCAAGATAGTTCCATAGCCTTGGCAGCTCATGACAAGTGCCTCGGGTGATTACTGACGTCATAAATAAGAGTGTCAATTGATAAATCATCAACGGGAGTCACTGTGCACTTACTCCCATGTAGGATCTCTTTCCTTAATGTGTTGTACTATGTGACTTAACGATAAAACTATTACTAAAACAGTACTCTATATTTTGTGTGTCTGTGTGGGTGCAGTCTGTTGAAATCTTCACTTAGTATATACTAAGTTGATCTGTATATAAAAATAATTGAAATGAATCTTAATGAAGAATGGGATGGGAGAGGGAGTAGGAGATGGGATGGTTGTGGATGGGAGGGAAGTTATGGGGGGAAAAGCTGCTATAATCCAAAAGTTGTACATTTGAAATGTATATTTATTTTTTTTTATTTTTTATTTTTTTTTTGGACAGGCAGAGTGGACAGTGAGAGAGAGAGACAGAGAGAAAGGTCTTCCTTTGCCGTTGGTTCACCCTCCAATGGCCACCGCGGCCAGCGCGCTACGGCCGGGGCACCGCGCTGATCCGATGGCAGGAGCCAGGAGCCAGGTGCTTTTCCTGGTCTCCCATGGGGTGCAGGGCCCAAGCACCTGGGCCATCCTCCACTGCACTCCCTGGCCACAGCAGAGGGCTGGCCTGGAAGAGGGGCAACCGGGACAGAATCCGGCGCCCCGACCGGGACTAGAACCCGGTGTGCCGGCGCCGCTAGGCGGAGGATTAGCCTAGTGAGCCGCGACGCCGGCCATACATTTGAAATGTATATTTATTAAATAAAGTTAAAACAAAACAAAACAAAAAGAAGTCGCTCTCTGCCCTTCCCCTGCCCTCCCTTCTCCCTATCCTGTTTCACCAAAGTAAGTCATAGAAACCACAATTCCTCCCTAAGGAGGTAATAGAAACTAGAACCACTTTTCCCCTGAGCAAGGCATAAAGCATAGAAAGATCACTCTGAGTTCTAGGTTGAAGACCCTCTTTCCAGAGGCAGAAATCCTACCCAAAACTAAGAAGGGCCTGAACAGAAAGGGCTTCCAACCACCTCCTCCCCCGCTACTACTACTAGATCATACCCTTTCTCATTATTATTTCTACATGGCTGTCCATTTTTCATTGAACCTAACAATAAAAATAGAAAGCCTTCCCCAAGTTTTTGGGTCTTCATTCCTGACTTCTTTCATGTCATGTAAAAACTCTGCTCAAATAAATTTGTTGGGGTTGGTGTTTGACACAGGGGTTAAGTTGCTTGGTTTGAGTATCAGCTCCTCCTATTCCACTCCAGCTTCCTGCCAATGTGCACACTGGGAGGCAGCAGATAATGTCTCAAGTACTTGAGTCCCGGCTACCCACATGGGAAACCCACATTGAGTTCTGGGTTCCTGGCTTTGGTCTGGCCTAGCCTTGGATGCTACATGCATTTTGGGGAGTAGAACAGTGGATGGAAGGTTACTTTCTTTTACAAAAAATGAAATAAATAAAATTAAATCAACTTGCTATCTTTTGTCTTGTTAATCTGTCTTTTGTTACAGGAAAGTTGGCAGTTAACCTTATGATAGATAAAGAAAGGTCTCACACTTTCGCACACCTACAACACCATCAAAGCTGAACTTATGTTCTTATCATTTGAGTGGATAACTCTGAATCACAGCTGCCCCATTTTTTCTAACTGTATTTTATAATCATATTAACCACCATCATCACCATTACCAAGTGGAAAAATAACTCTATGTTCTTACGTTCTAGGTGAAAGAAGGACAGTGTCAAAGTAAACAGAGTTGGTCCCAGCCATCTGGAACCTCCTGTGGCCATGTATGACTCAGAGATTTTCCTCACACCTTGCAATGTGCATAGTAATGATCCCTTGTGGCATGGTGGACCCGACAGAAATCACTGCTCAGCCAAGCAATCAATTTCCATGATGTAGATGACTGCTCCGCAAGTCTCGGAAAGTGGGTAAAAGAATCAGACTATTTTGACAACTATGTTGACCTCATGGAGCAATGACTTAGAGCTGTCACTAGTGACATGAGGTAAAGACATCAGGGTTATTTTTTGTGGAAGATGTTGAAGAAAAGAAGGCAATGGCTAAATAATACACTGAATACTTCATGGATGTAACATGAACTTCAGCATTTCTGTTTCTTTGAGGGCTTTGTAGTTTCTTCTAGAGCAGTCTCAGGGACAATTTTAGTTCCTGTTATTTAGGGGGCAGAAGCTTCTCTGCTTAGACTCTCCCTTGGTGGCAGACAGTTGGCATACTCCTTCCCTTCTTTTTCCCTTTGTGAACTTTAAGTTTGTTTTAAATTCTATTACTTTTCTTATTTCAACATAGCTCACACACCAATATGTGCAAAAGAAATCAAAGGGACATGGGTCATGTACATCAAATAGTAGGAAAAGGTCTTCCCATGGATAAGTAAATCTTTCAAGAAAAAATTTCTAGGCCTCACATCAAACAAAACAATATACAACAAAGCAGGTATGGTTTCCTTGGATTAGCCTCAAAGGTAATATGGACTATGAAAATCAAAATGAAAACCAAGAAAGAACTCGCTGGAGTTTTTCTAATCTTTATTTGAAACTGCTGCCATGTATTGGTATTTGTGTGGTGCTTGTGTCTGAGATGGCAGGTCCTAGCTGGCAGCTAGGGGACAATGTTCCACAGCATCTCACGAAGATGGGCTAACCTGGTACAGCCACAGCAGCAATAATGCTTACTGGGCTTAATTTATGATCCTAGGGTTTTCATAGTAGGATAAGAATAAATAAATGGCACACAGTAGAATGATCTTTTGGTGGGGAGGTAGGAACTGTCAATAGAGCACGTTGCTGTTCAGGATCAGGGGTCTTCATGAACCTGGCCTCCCACCTCATTATGAGGTCACAAGATGCTTGGTCATTCATTGGATAGAATGGAGATGAACCCTTATCCTCTGAGGTGGAGCATATTAAACCAGAAACTAGCAGGGGCTTAACAGTCAACTCTTAGCACTAAAGCCAAAAAGGGCAAACATTCTGTGTTTAATGATCAGGAGCTCCTCATCTTTACTTCTGTGACAGAGGCAGAGACTGGCAGCCCTTCACGTTTGGGAAGTCTCCTGAGTACTTCACTGTTGTTGAAATGGCTCGATAGGATAGAAACTCCTGCTAGTGCTCAGAAAATGATACCACCAAGTATGGTGCTTTGGCATGTTGAGTATCTTGCTTAAGAGCATTGAAAAGGCCTCAGCTATCAATTCCAGCTTCCTGCTGATGCAGACTCTAGGAGGCAGTAGATGCACAAGTACTATCTGTAAGTTTGTGGCTTCCCACTCTGGCCTAGTCTACACTATTGCAGGCATTTGGGGTATGAACTAGAGGACAGAAGTGCTCTCTCTTTCTGTCTCTCTATTTTTCTACATCTAATACAAATAACTAAAAATAAAGTGCATTTCTTTAAAAATGCTTTAAAATACAGAAAAATACATGAAGGGCCTCAGAAGCCAAGTTTTACTCTGGTCTCCTCCAGCCCTCCTGATTTCTCCTGCTTTCCTTTCTCCTCCCCACCCCAAAATGATTATGAAAATAAGAAATTCTCTTCCCCAAGGTAGGTCATAGACATTAGAACACTTCTGCTCAAAAGCCAACCATAAAACTTAGATATATGACTCTAATCTTCCTCTGCTTTTCTGTCTAAGAGCTGGCCATCAAGAAATTCTCCCTACCTTGTTTGACTTCAGATCATAAGAACTCTCACTCCAGAATGGGTCCTGCTCTATACCAAGCAGGAAAGAATGCTACACAGAGAGGTCAAGAACAATTTGAATAGACAGTTTTGCTGGATCTCAGCTAGGGAAATCTTTAGTCTATTAATATTAGGTCACAACTCCCTTTTTGTCCAATCACATTTCTACTTAACTGTCCATTCTCCATGCAATCTAACATAAAAATCGACAGTTCTCCCTGGGTCTTTGTGTCTTCATTTGTAAAGGCTCCTATGTCATATAAAACTTGATTGAATAAATCTGTTATGGTTATCTATTAACCCATCTGCTTTTTGGAGACTTTATTATTAGTACTTTTTGAGCTAGAGAGCCAGACAGATATAGAAAGAGCTCCTATCCACAAGTTGACTCACTGAATGCCTGCAATGGCTAGGACTGGGCCAAGTGGAAGCTGGAAGCTAGGAACTCAATTCAAGTCTCCAATTAGGGGGTAGGGATCCAATTAGGGGGTAGGGATCCAATTACTTGAGCCACCATTGCTGCCTTCCAGTGTCTGCACTAGCAGGAACTGGAGGCAGGAGCTGGAAGGGTATATTGAACTCAAACCTTCTGATATGGGACATGTGCATCTTAACTGGTATCCTAACTGCTAGGTCAAACGCCTGCTACAGCACATCTTTTCTTACAGGAATTTTGGCAATGAGTTAAAACCACCCATCTGCTATCATTAGGCAATTGATGCCACACTGATATGAGCTCTGTGAAGGTACAGTCCTTATCTATGTAACAAATGTAGAAAATAACTTCTTATATATAGGTACAGAAACTTCAGAAAGTTTACAAAAGGAAGTATTATTAAAAGTTTCCACTTCTGGAGAAAGTTGGAGGAAGTTGCTAAATAGAATTTGAGGTGGGAAGAAAACATTGTTTTGCCTATTTTTTTCCTTTTTAAACTGTGTACATAATTACTGTTAACTAAAACACAATGCAGCAGGTAAGCATATTCTACAAGAAGGCCACTATCTCTTTAGTTTCTTTACATTACTTCTTTTCCCCATAACTCTGGAGGAAATATAGAAAAAATATATCAATTAGTTTAAAATTATATTATTAGAGCTAAAAAAAACCATTTTTAGACTCAAGCATATGTTAATGACTGAGTTAGTTTACATTTTGGGGCAAGACTTTTTCCCAAGAATTGCTTTATCCATAAAAGTGAACCTGCTGGGGCTGGCACCGTGGCTCACTTGGTTAATCCTCCACCTGTGGCGCTGGCATCCCAAATGGGCACCAGGTTCTAGTCCCAGTTGCTCCTCTTCCAGTCCAGCTCTCTGCTGTGGCCTGGGAAGGCAGTGGAGGATGGCCCAAGCCCTTGGGCCCTGCACCCCATGGGAGACCAGGAGGAAGCACCTGGCTCCTGGCTTTGGATCAGTGCAGCGCTGGCTGTAGCGGCCATTTGGCGGGTGAACCAACGGAAGGAAGACCTTTCTCTCTGTCTTTCTCTCTCTCACTGTCTAACTCTGCCTGTCAAAAAAATAAAATAAAATAATCTACAGATGGTATTCCATTAATTTCCACAGATCAGGGAGAACACTTGGTATTTGTACTTTTGGGACTGGCTTATTTCACTTAGTATAATGTTTTCCTGTTGTGTCCATCTTGTTGCAAGAGACAGGTGTTCATTTCTTTTTTACAGCTGAGTAGTACTCCATCATGTATATATATACCATAATTTCTTTATCTAGTCAACAGTTGATGGACATCTGGGTTTATTCCATATCTTAGCTATTGTGAACTGTGCTGCAATGAACATGAGGGTACAGATAACTCTTTCATATGCTGATTTCATTTTCTTTGGGTAAATTCCCAAGAGTGGGATGGTTGGGTCATATGGTAGGTCTACATGCAGATTTCTGAAGTATCTCTGTAATGTCTTACACAGTGGCTGCACCAGTCTACATTGCCACCAAGAGTGGTTTAGGTTACCTTTTCTCCCACATCCTCAGAAGCATTTGTTGTTTGTTGATTTCTTCATGAAAGCCATCCAAACAGGGATAAGGTGAAAGTTCATTGTGGTTTTGATTTGCATTTCCCTGGTGGGTAGTGATCCTGAGCATTACTTTTCAAGTGTCTGTTGGCCATTCAGATTTCCACTTTTGAAAAATTTCTGTTTAAGTCCTTGGCCCATCTCTTAACTCAGTTGTTTGCTTTGTTGTTGTTGAGTTTCTTGAGCTCTTTATACATTCTGGATATTAATCCTTTATCAGTTGTAAAGTTTGGAAATAAGTTCTCCCATTCTGTCAGTTGCCTCTTCACTTTGCTGAGTGTTTCTTTTGCAATGCAGAAGCTTCTCAATATGATGTAACCCCACTGCCTGTGTCTCTGGGGTCTTTTTCAAGAAGTTTTTGCCAATGTCTTACATGGTTTCCCCAATGTTCTCTAATAATTTGGTGGTATTGGGTCATAGATTTATGTCCTTGATCCATTTGAAGTGGATTTTTGTGTAAAATGTAAGATAGGCATCTGGATTCATACTTCTGCATGCAGAGATCCAGTTTTCATAGCACCATTTGTTGAAGAGACTGTCCTTGCTCCAGGGATTAGTTTTTACTCCTTTGTCAAAGATAAGTTGATTGTAGATAAGGGGATTGATTTCTGGAGTTTCTATTCTGTTCCATTGGTCTATCCATCTGTTTTTGTGCCACTACCAGGCTGTTTTGATTAACTGCTCTGTAGTATGTCTTGAAATAAGCTATTGTGATGTATCTGGCTTTGTTTTTACCTACTTGAGGTCTCCTGTGTTTCACATGATTGCAGCATTGTTTTTTCTATATCTGAGAAGAATGTTCTTGGTATTTTGACTGGGATTGCACTGAATATGTAAATTGCTTTCAGTAGTAAGGATATTTTGATGATATTGATTCTTCCAATCCATGAATATGGAAGACTGTTCTATTTTTATGTCTTCTTCTATTTCTTTCTTTAATGTTTCATAATTCTCATTGAAGAGATCTTTGATGTCCCTGGTTAAATTTATTCCAAGGTATTTAAATTTTTATGCAGCTATTGTGATTGTGATTGATCTTAGAAGTTCTTTCTGGCTGGCACCGCGGCTCACTAGGCTAATCCTCCGCCTTGCAGCACTGGCACACTGGGTTCTAGTCCCGGTTGGGGCGCCGGATTCTGTCCCGGTTGCCCCTCTTCCAGGCCAGCTCTCTGCTGTGGCCAGGGAGTGCAGTGGAGGATGGCCCAAGCCCTTGGGCCCTGCACCCCATGGGAGACCAGGATAAGTACCTGGCTCCTGCCATCAGATCAGTGCGGTGCACTGACTGCAGGGCACCGGCCGTGGCGGCCATTGGAGGGTGAACCAACGGCAAAGGAAGACCTTTCTCTCTGTCTCTCTCTCTAACTGTCCACTCTGCCTGTCAAAAAAAAAAAAAAAGAAAGAAAAGAAAGAAAGAAAAAGAAGAAGTTCTTTCTTAGCCATGGCATTGTCTATGTATACAAAGGCTACTATTGATTTTTGTGTGTTGATTTTATATCCTGCCATTTTACCAAACTCTTTTATGAGTTCCAATAGCATCTTAGTGCAGTCCTATAGATATTCCATATAGAATCATATCATCTGCAAATAGGGATAACTTGACTTACTCCTTCCCAATTTTTATCCCTTTGATTTCTTTTTCTTGCCTAATGGTTCTGGCTAAAACTTCCAGGACTATATTGAATAGCAAATATGAGAGTGGGCATCCTTTTCTGGTTCTGGATCATAGTGGGAATGCTTCCAACTTTTCCCCATTCAATAGGATACTGGCTATGGGTTTTGCCTTGATTGTGTTGAGGAATGCTCCTTTTATATCCAATTTGCTTAAATTTTTCACCATGAAAGGATGGTATATTTTATCAAATGCTTTCTATGCATCTATTGAGAAAATCATATGGTTTTTGTTTTTCAGTTTGTTAATGTGATGCAACACATTGATTGATTTGCAAATGTTGAACCATCTCTGCTTACCAGGGATAAATCCTACTTCATCTGGCTGAATGATCTTTCTGATGTGTTGTTGGTTTCTATTGGTCAGAATTTTGTTGAGGATTTTTGCTTCTATGTTCATCAGGGAAATTTGTCTGTAGTTCTCTTTCTCTATTGTATCTTTTTCAGGTTTAGGAATTTAGGTGATGCTGGCTTCAAAGAAGGTGTTTGGGAGGATTCCCTCCCTTTCAATTGTTTCAAATAGCTTGAGAAGCATTGGGTTAGTTCTTCTTTAAATGTATGGTAAGGGCTGGCGCTGTGGCACTGTAGGTTAATCCTCCTTCTGCCATACTAGCATCCCAAATGGGTGCCAGTTCAAGTCCTGGCTGCTCCTCTTCCAATCTCGCTCTCTGCTGTGGCCTGGGAAAGCAGCAGAAGATGGCCTAAGTATTAGGGATCCTGCACCCACATGGGAGACTGGGAAGAATCCCCTGGCTCCTGGCTTTGGATCAGCTTATCTCCCACTGTTGTGGTCATTTGGGAAGTGAACCAATGGAAAGAAGACCTTTATCCCTGTCTCTCCCTCTCACTGTCTGTAATGCTACCTCTCAAATAAATAAAATCTTAAAAAAATAAATAAATGTCTGGTAAGTTCAGCAATGAAGCTGTCTGGTCTTGACTTTTCTTTGTTGGGAGGGTCCTTATTCCTGATTCAATTTCTGTCTTATTTATTGTTTTTTTTAGGTTTTCCATGTCTGTATGGCTCAATTTAGGTAGGTTGTATGTATCCAGGAAACTATCCATTGCTTCTAGGTTTCCTGGTTTGTTGGCATACAGCTCTTTGCAGTAATTTCTGATGATTCTTTTATTTCTGTGGTATTTACTGTTATATTTCCTTTTTCATCTCTAATTTTATTAATTTGGGTTTTCTCCCTTTTTATGATCAGTTGGATCAAAGGTGTGTAAATTTTGTTTAATTTTTTTCCAAAAACTAGCTCTTTGTTTCTCTGATCTTTTGTATTATCTTTTTTTCTGGTTTTAATTTTGTTTATTTCTTCTCTAATTTTAATTATTTCTTTTTTCCTACTAATTTTGGTTTTTGTTTGCTGTTGTTTTTCTAGGTTCTTACATGTATTGTTAGATAATTTTTATGATGACTTTCCAAATTCTTGATGTAGTCACTAATTGCTATGAACTTTCCTAACACTGCTTTTGCTGTTTCTCATAAATTTTGATATGTTGGATTGCCATCTTCATTCACTTATATAAGCTTTTTTATTTTTCTTTTGATTTCTTATATGATTCACTCTTCATTCAGGAGCATGTTGGTCAGTCTCCCTGTGCTTGCATATGTTTTAGAGATTTTTGAGTTGATGATTTCCAGCTTCATTCCATTGTGGTCAGAGAAGATGCATGGAATGATTTTGATTTTTTTGAATTCGCTAAGACTTCCTTTATGGCCTAGCATGTGGTCTATTCTGGAGAAAGTTCCATGCACTGGTGAGAAGAATATGTATTTTGCAACTGTAGGATGAAAAGTTCTATAGATATCAGTTAGGTCCATTTGCTCTATAGTGTCAATTAACTTACTAATCTTCTGTCTGGCTGATCTGTCCAATGCTGAAAGTGTGGTATTGAAGACCCCCAAAACTATTGTATTGGAGTCTGAATCTCCCACATAAAATGCAACTGATATGTCACCAGAACAGAATTTTAATTAATCTAAATAGTGACAAGTGGCTAGTAACTACTATTCTGGACACTACAGGTCTAGGTTACAGAAAATAGGGAAT